GAATCACACAATTTGAAACAAGTTCACACGTCATGTATAAAATATAAAATATTGCAATCTAAAATAGAATTGAACATGAAAATTTGCAGTTTGTTAAAAAACAAAATAGTTTTATAATCATTTACAAAATAAAAAATAAAAAACACAATTTTACAGAGAAACATTATTTGAACATAAGTTCAATAGTCATTAAATCAGAAACATATTTTATAGTTCAAAATCAGACTCCACATATAGGCCAAATAAAAGACAATATGAAACTTCTAGTCACAACAGAGTTTCATTGTAAAATTCCTCAAGGTTGTAATACGCTTTTATTGCAAGGGCTTCTTTCACAAGATTTCTGAACTTTTTATAGTGATGCATCCAAAGCTTATCGCATTTATGACCCAATAACACGAAAAGTAGTTATTCGCAGAGATATAGCCGTGTTTGAGGAAGAGAAAGCAGCGAAAATAGTTCTGACTGAGATAGGTACCTGGAGAAACATTTTATCCTGATGAAGCACCTGTAGAAGAGGAAACCGCTTCAGTGGGGGATATCACAGATTCTAATGATACAACTTAGGATTTCTTGGGAACCACAAGAAGAGCTACCTCTCTCATCTGAATCAAACAGTGATGATGAGTATATGAAGATATTGAAACAGTAGAAACTATAATTATAATGAAGGTATTATGATAAAGGTATTATAATAAAGGTATTTTAATAAAGGTATTATAATAAAGGTATTATAAAAAAGGTATTATAATGGAGGTATTAGAATAATCTGTCAAGTAAGTCACATTGGTGGTTACTTCACATTTTTATTTTAATCAATTCTTTCGGTTGCAGACAAAATAGCATGTTTCATTCGGATCAAAAGTGACTTTGTTTGACTCGCAAATTTTGCTTGTCAAACAAAGTGTCACTTTTGATCCTTATAAAATAATCTACTTTTTTGTCATGTTTATTGATTAGCCACAGACAATACTGCATCTTTTTTCTTTCTTCATCTGCTTCATAAAGGTACATGTGGAGATTGTATTTCAAAGAACGGTATCCACATACGCAAGAACATAATTTTCTATATCTTCATTTATGATAATGTTGTTGATATTTTCAACAGGATCAGCACGTAATCTACTTTCCAATTTCAGAAAATATGTTCGAGCTGGAATAATACTTTCGTTGTAACAAGTAGCATAAAACTCTCGGGCATTAACAGAATGGGCGAGTGTACTGATAATAAATTTTCAACATTCAAGTACTCCACTAACCTAAATTAATTAAGGCAACACTTCTCATGTTTTTTTATGTAAATAATGTGTCTATGCGTTGTTCAAAACCGTTGAATTTCAGAGCTCATTTCAAACGTAACGTCATTGCCTCTTTTCAGCGATTCTTCGAATTAATAGTTTATTATGCTATTTCGTTATTGGTTAGATAATCTTCCATTCCCACTCATGAAGCAAGGATAACAAGTCACCAATTATAATCAAGCTATCAAAAATATGTTAGTCATGTCGTTAGATAATACATAATAGGAGGATGCACGATATCGATATTATAGTTAATTCTTGAGTTTTTCGAGCAACCAGCATGTCCAAATATGTCCTATACTCCATAACAAAATATCATGTAAATGTTGGAGACTTGGCAACATCGTGCAGGCTGAGAATTGACGAGACAATTCGTGCGCCGTGTTGTCATGTTTACTAGTTCGAACGTCCTCTAGTGTGAATTAATTTAATTCTTGTTTAATAATAAGCCACAGCACATGAGGAAATATTTTGAGAATATTTCATTTTTTATTGCTAATTAGGAATATTGCCAATACATAATTGATAATTTATGAATTATTGGATAATTAATATTTCTGAAGTTCCCAATCGCATTTCAACATATGGCAGCTGTGCTATGGTCTGCCCCTACTTGCGAAATCGCGACGTCAGTTTTAATTCGCAGTAAATTTCTAGCCGTTTAAAAATTACGGTGGCATTAATTGATGATTTTAGCACCCTGAAATCGAGCGAAAAATTATTAAAAATTTTTTTGAGTGATGATTATATTCAAGAAATGAAAAAAATAGACCACTCGCTTATTTCTTCTACACTCTCCAAATATTATGAGCATCAACTTCTTCTGAATTAGTGAAAGTAATGTTTGCCATATCTATTTCCTCTAAATATAATGAACACTCATTGACAAACAATAACATTTGCCTTAGGATATTTCGTCTTTTGTTTTATAAATCGAAATAATATTGGATGAGCAATAATCAAAGCCCACTTTGCATTATCTGCGAGGCTCACCATTTGATTTATTAATACAGAAAGACATTATAGCTAACTAGAATCATCATAATCTCATTCTCTTAGAATTTATTTTAATTTTATTCCTTTTGTGTTTAGGTTTTCAATCGGATATTGCCAAATAATGTGGTATCAATTAATTAGGAGCATAATCATATCAATGAATGCAAAATCCTCCAAATTTCAAAATTTCATTTCGAACGATTCAAAAGTTACAGAGGCGGCCCGGTTCTCATGTCACTTGTTTGACTTTATTTTCCGTGTTTTCTAACCTCTTAGTTTAGATTTAAACACGTGTTGGCTGTTTGTCCCATCAATGATGTTGATATTATTCTCTCATAGTTACCGCTCTCATGAGGGCACGGGGCCCTAATTTTAAGAAAGAAACACTTTTTCAATATTATGTTCTGTTGGGAAATGTTTGGCAATCTCCCTTCATATAAGTACCATTCTAATATGTGAAATTTGGTTCATTAGTTGTACGCACTCTCGAGTACGGGACCCTTCATTAATTGAGAAACCGTATATGCAGGCTGATTTACTAGCTAGTTTATTAGTTGTACGCGCTCTCAGAGTACTGGTTCCTTCATTTATTGAGAAACCTTATATGAAGATTTTAAAAACATTAGTTTCTGACTATGGGCATCGGCAGGCTGATTTACTAGCTAGTAATTTTATTGTTTTCAACTCTAGATAAGTCAATACCAAATAATAAATTCTCTCGTCAAAATCTTGTTTGTATTGAAGAACTATTAATTAGGCTGAAGATGGTCCTTTCTAGGACCAAAACATTTGCCTGATTGTGTAACAACGTCATTTAAATTTGTGGAGATGGATTCGAGCATTCCTTCATTCTTTTGAAAATTCCACTACACTTTGAACAATATGAACTTCTACTGAAGATTAGTAGTTTGAAGTTGAATGTTAGGTTAAGTATTATTTGCTAGAGATATGTATTGTACAAAACAAGTAAAGAAAATTCAATTGGCGGGTTGTGTAGTGACTCAATTAGGTAGTGTAATCTTACGCCACTGTAACATAGAGAAAGGGAGAGACGTCGAGGACTAAAGAGAGACTATAATGTATCCAAAGTTAATTGATGCGTGTCAAGCCGTGCTTGCACACACTTCAAAAGGCAATTCGAACCTGTCAATGCCGCTCGGTACGGGAGATGCTCCAATTGACTTTGGATAGACTATACCTGTGATGTGATATAAAGATCTTATTACTGTTATACCGAATATTGCGATTCCAGTAGTAAGCTGAATAACTAAGTTATGTTCCTGTATATTTCGAAGGTGTGAGTCCCAGCAAGAGATTGTTTAACCTGGCTGTTGAACGGAGTTACCCTAACCCAACATACTGTGTTTAAACAATTCTTCTGTCCGATCCGTATTTAAGTGGCATAAAAACTCTATAACGAAGGAAATTCACGGTTCTTGTGAGAATAGGGATACATTGAGCAACAGGGATACATTGATCAAAACTTCGCTTTATATTTGGTAAACAATATCGAAGAAAATATGCGCATGCGATATATGTCATCGATGGGGCAGCCATCTTGTACGTAAGGATTCTTCAGTATGGCTGGTTATCTCTTCGAGAGAAGACGTGGGTGGACTATTTTTCGCCGTAGTTTTCAAGAGAAGAGAAATATCATATCACGTGTCTGTGTGCATGCAGTTTGAGAAGGTACGTATTTGTGTATATTACTACAGTTTAAAAATGACAAATTTCTTAGAACTAATATTTTGAGAGCGTTTCGAATGTTATGGTTCAACTTTGGTCATTTTGCAGGGTAACATTGATCACTAGATCAAATTTGTCCCCGTGACCAATGTTGCCCCATTTGTTGTTTTGTTACTGTGAAAAACTCTCAAATTTGCCGAAATAATAGCTAATTCGAGTATTTTTTTAGAAGATGCCACGTAATCATAAACGATTATTAGGAAGTCGTTCTTACATGAAAATAGCAGATGGCACGATGAAGATCAGAGTGGCCTCTAGGAGCTATAAAATACCTTTTGGGACATTCTATAATAAGTACAAGGGCCAACATGAAAAATCATCTGGTCGCTCCACAGTTTTAAGTCGTAATGAGGATGTCTCAATATTAGAAAGTGCAGCCAAATGTTCTAAATGGGGTTTTCCTCTTAATATTTCAGACAGGAATTATTTGGACCGTCGAGGCGAAAATATTCTAATGTATAAGAATAGAGTAGACTGGGCCCACTGCCTTCTTCAGAGGCATAAGGATTCCTTTGGTCAAAGGATAGCAACCAATATCAAGAAATCTTCATATTCAATTATGATGAATCGAACATTAGCGATGATCCAGGGAAAATGCAAAGCATTCACAGGAGGGGTGTAAAGTACCCAGAGAAAGTAATGAATCATTCTAGGAGTGCAACGACAATAATGGTATGTGGTTCAGCCGACGATACCTTGTTACCGCCATGTGTGATATATAAGAGCCTACATCTGTATGATACCCGGAAGAAAGGGGGTCCGCAGGGACTTCCATGCTGCCATAAGCCCTGCTACAATATGGGTTCCACTGTTCCAGATTCAATAGAACTGCAAGTGGCTGGCTGGATGGGGTTACGTTTCGAGACTGGTTTTCCAATTGCTTTCTGCCGCTCTTCAGGATAGAAGGATATAATAGGCGACAATCTCTCAACCTACATGGACAACGATGTTTTAAATATGTGCGCTGAAAACAGTATTCGCTTTATTAGTTTAGTGCCAAATTCGACCCATCTATGTAAACCCCTTGATGTGAGTTTTTTCCGCGCCATGAAACAGGCCTGGCGGTCAGTATTAGCTGAGTGGAAAAGTCAAAATCCTCAGTTCGGCACGATTTCCAAAGCCAGTTTTCCAACACTTCTAAGGAAATGTCTAGAGCAAATGGATGTAGTTCCATCAGAAGTTGTAAATGAGGCAGCCAATGAGACAATTGCAATCAAACGCAAATTTGTGAGCGCTTTTCGATCAGCAGGGGTTTTCCCAGTCGATCGTCCTCAGATATTCAAACGATTTCTTCAAGAGGACAATGAATCAGAAAATGCATCTGGGGACGCCGAGAGTGCTTTAGTCGCACTATTGAAAGCAAAACGATTCAATGATGCAACTTCAGATAAACCAAGAAGAAAAATGAGGCTCGATGTTTTGCTAGGACGTAGTGTCACAACGTCCTCCGTTCCTCAACCTCATTCTTCAGAATCATCAGTGCATTCTCTCGCCTATCTCCAGAGTTCTAGTTCAGTAGTGAATATGAAAGAGCCCTCAGATTTTGAGACACCTGAAAGACTCAAGGAGGAAAAACTCGAAACCCGTGTTGAAGTGGGACAGTACATTTCAGCTGAGTTTTTATCAACAAAAGGGAAAAAACCTACAAATATGTGTGTAAAGTCATAGAGTTGGCTCCTCAGATAGTAGGGATGGGGATGAAATCCATACATTTCAAATTGGTCTATGATGATATCAGTGAAATCAATCAAAACGATATCCTTGAACTTTTGCCTAATCCTTCCATTGAACAAGACCAAGATGGCAATAGTTCATATATTTTCGACAGTGAAATCAGAATGTTTTATTTCGAAGTATTTTCTGAAGTATTATTTTTAGTTTGAGAGCTGTTGTTGAGTTTTCCAAAGTTTAAAGATCAACTATAGGGGCAATTTTTTATTCCAGATAAAATATTCCTATTGAAAAAAATTATTTCCACCTTTCATCGTTGAATCGGCGAATTGAAATGCCTAAGGTTGTCAAGGGTTGCCATATGAGCATGTTTGGTCATTCAAGTGGGGATAGATTATTCAACATTGATAGGTTGTTCAATTTTTTTTTTTAGTTCAAATGGTCATATTTTATCTTTGAGAAAAATATTTCTATTTGTAACGTAGGACTACTTTGACATTTTTTTTTAGCTCAAAATACCGATTCAAAATAATCCATAATTTTAGCATCGGAGGATATTTCGAAATCAGCCTATTTTTACCAAAATTTTGCTCTGAAAGACAAAATGATATTCAACTTTATATTGTAAATTTGATCAAAATATCCCCATTCCACGGTAGAGTCGATTTGCAGGTGATTTCAATATGAGGATTGTAAAATTACCTATCATTGCAATTGCTATTTACCATTGCCGACAAAACTTGGGGTGAATGTTTGGTACCGGCAGAGTAAGCTATATTCAATCCATCAAGCACTACGTCGAAACAATCCATATCATTGATGAAATTTTGGAATTTCCTGAGTTCTGCTGGATTTGTTTTTACAAACAAATCTCTTCCAATTATAACATTCTTGAAAAGTTTTTTCTTCAGATCATCAAATTCTTCTTGACCAACTTCATAATTGTTCAATTTGAGATGACAATTGTTGCAAACTCCCTTATATGATACCTGGAACAAAAAATCTGTTGAATACGATGTTGTTATCATTACACACACTAACCTCAAGAATAATAAGTATGCTCAATCAGATATTGACTGAATAAAAACTGGAGTTTCCAAAGATTTTACAATTCTTTGTAGTGGATGGTTATAATATATTGTTTAATTATGTCATCGAAATCAGGTACCATTTCGAAACAGTCCAACACAGCTTTTCCGAAAGTGTTGCGATAGTTAGATTATTCATCAATTTATTGTTTATAGTAATAGGTAGGTTAGCAATTAGGTATTGTAGTTTACAGAGAACATTCCGGTTTGAACTCTGAAAGAATTAATAACTATTCTATAATAAACCAGTAAAAAGTGAACTACCTTCTGTTGTTCTTCCAGTACCCAGTTACACAAAACAATATACAACTAGCCATATTTCACTCGGAAATGGTGGAGCAGGGGTTTTCCCAGTCGATCGTCCTCAGATATTCAAACGATTTCTTCAAGAGGACAATGAATCAGAAAATGCATCTGGGGACGCCGAGAGTGCTTTAGTCGCACTATTGAAAGCAAAACGATTCAATGATGCAACTTCAGATAAACCAAGAAGAAAAATGAGGCTCGATGTTTTGCTAGGACGTAGTGTCACAACGTCCTCCGTTCCTCAACCTCATTCTTCAGAATCATCAGTGCATTCTCTCGCCTATCTGCAGAGTTCTAGTTCAGTAGTGAATATGAAAGAGCCCTCAGATTTTGAGACACCTGAAAGACTCAAGGAGGAAAAACTCGAAACCCGTGTTGAAGTGGGACAGTACATTTCAGCTGAGTTTTTATCAACAAAAGGGAAAAAACCTACAAATATGTGTGTAAAGTCATAGAGTTGGCTCCTCAGATAGTAGGGATGGGGATGAAATCCATACATTTCAAATTGGTCTATGATGATATCAGTGAAATCAATCAAAACGATATCCTTGAACTTTTGCCTAATCCTTCCATTGAACAAGACCAAGATGGCAATAGTTCATATATTTTCGACAGTGAAATCAGAATGTTTTATTTCGAAGTATTTTCTGAAGTATTATTTTTAGTTTGAGAGCTGTTGTTGAGTTTTCCAAAGTTTAAAGATCAACTATAGGGGCAATTTTTTATTCCAGATAAAATATTCCTATTGAAAAAAATTATTTCCACCTTTCATCGTTGAATCGGCGAATTGAAATGCCTAAGGTTGTCAAGGGTTGCCATATGAGCATGGTTATAATATATTGTTTAATTATGTCATCGAAATCAGGTACCATTTCGAAACAGTCCAACACAGCTTTTCCGAAAGTGTTGCGATAGTTAGATTATTCATCAATTTATTGTTTATAGTAATAGGTAGGTTAGCAATTAGGTATTGTAGTTTACAGAGAACATTCCGGTTTGAACTCTGAAAGAATTAATAACTATTCTATAATAAACCAGTAAAAAGTGAACTACCTTCTGTTGTTCTTCCAGTACCCAGTTACACAAAACAATATACAACTAGCCATATTTCACTCGGAAATGGTGGAGCATTTCGTGATATTGTGTTGGTAGCAACCACTACCAAATTCAGTGTCACTTGTCGAATGTAAATTTTGTGGCTCCGACGATGTACTACAACATGTTTTGCTTTCATATCATGGTCGAAATTTCCTTATTAACATTTTTTTGAAGATTGCCATGGAATCAAATTTGTCGAATTTGTTGATTTCGAATTTTGACAGTTCAGGACAGTTTTAACGCTAAAAGTTCACTCTTAGAATGCAAAATGTCATTTTCGAATGAAGAACAGATATATATGTTGGAAATTTTTTATGCATGTCATCGAAATGTTCAAGAAACAAGTGAAACATATTTACAACGTTTTTCTGAAAGACATCAACCAAATATTGGACATATCCTAGGTCTCCATAGAAAACTGGGCCAATATGGTTCATTTCGGCGGCCCAGACATAAATATGGCGGGAGAGCTGATGAATATGAAGAAAACATATTACAAGCGGTAAAATATAATTTTCAGATTGAATTTCCGTTAAGATATTTTTCATTAGTTCCAAGAAAATCGCCACATATCAACGAGACGAATTGGAGCGCAGTTGAATGCACGACACTAGTTGGTATGGAGGACACTAAAAAAAATCGGTATCATCCTTACAAAATTCTTCCTACCCAAACTCTTCATCCTGGAGACAGGGAACGCAGATTAGAATTTTGCAGGTTTTTGTTGGATCGAATACGTGAAAATCCAGATTTCCATCACAATGTAATATGGAGTGACGAATCGAAATTCACGAGTTCAGGGATGTTCAATAGACACATCGATTGTGTCTCTCATAATATTCTTCTGGAAAAATTATCCTACTATGGTTTGAGAGGAGTAGTTTTATCACTTATTAAATCATATTTAGAAACTCGTTTCCAGAAGATTAGTTTTAACAACGCTTGTTCAGATTACCTTCCAGTTGTACATGGTGTGCCCCAAGGGTCGGTCCTCGGGCCACTACTATTAATTATTTATATAAATGATATATTTGAGTTCATGCAACCCACCAAATGTGTCTTGTTTGCTGACGACACTAGACTTATTTGTTCTGGAAGTAATTATCAAGATCTCATCACCGAAACAGAGATTATCGAAAAAAGAGCTGAGGAGTGGTTTGAATATAATAAACTGAAGTTAAATACCAATAAAACTCAAAAAAAATTTATGTCAACGCATCCCTCTTGCCATAAAGGTAATAGCGTGAATTTACTAGGGATCACGCTTGATGAGAAACTAAATTGGCACCATCATATCGAGCTTTTACAGAAAAAACTGTCAAGTACCATATTTCTCCTCAGACAACTCAGGAGTATCATAAATTCTGTAACTTTAAAAACTGTCTACTTTTCTTTATTTCACAGTCATATAAATTATGACGTTTTATTATGGGGAAACTCTTCTCATGCTCCTATCATATTTCGCCAGCAGAAAAAGGCAATAAGAGTAATGGCCAATGCATATTATAGAGAACACTGTAAAACCTTATTCATCGCATATGGCATCATGCCATTACCAACTTTGTTTATCTATAACACACTTCAAGAGGTTCACAAACAATCTAACATACTCAGACCTCATAGTGATATTCATGACCATGACACCATCAGACATGCGATGAAGATACGTAATCCTCGGTTTAGACTCACTGTATCTCTGAAAAACTCCTTGGATTACAACATTTACAATATATTGCCTCATAGAATTGAAAATCTCTGTTTCATCAAATTTAAGAATGAAATAAAGCAATATCTCCTGGAACATTGCTTCTACTCACTGGAAGAATATTTTCAGACTGATCATGAGGAACTACTGGCTTGACTATTGATATGGATGAAGTCGCTATCAATATGTACCTGCAGTATTTTTTTTTTCATATTTGTTCTCTATTTTTAATCTGTATCAATATTTTCATATTGTTTGTCTTTTAACTTTTTATTGTTTGTCTTTTCACAAAATTTTTTTTTACAGTTCTATTTTTTTATAGTTCTAACTCCTTGACCTGCTACAAATGTACAGTGTACGTAATGTGGTAAAATAAAGTATTCTATTCTATTCTATTCTATTCATAATGAACATGTGTGGTCTATCGAAAATCCCCGTGTGAACCAAAAACGGCGACCTCAGATACACTTTGGACTGAATGTTTGAGTTGATTTACTAGGTGGAACAGTTATTGAAGAAAATTTGACTACAGAGAGATATATTGATTTTATAAGGACTTTTTTGAAAGATTATATGGATAACAATATTAATCTCAACCGCCTGCGTGATTTATGGTTTCAGCATAATGCCAGAAGGGTTACAGAATAGTGGTGATATACGTTGGCCAGCGCGTTCTCCAGACTTATCACCCTTGGACTACTTTTTATGGGGCACAATAAAAAATAGTTTATAGAACTGTGCCAGTAGATATTAATGTCCTTCTGCAAAATATTATTGACTCCTTGAGACAGATAAGAAGACGAAGTATCGGAAGGGCAATCGCAAATATGAGAAAACGTGCAGAATTATGTATACTAATGGAAGGTGGACAGTTTGAGCAGCGTCTCTGATTATTTATATGTTGTCCTTGATTTGTTTGATCTGATCGGTTCACATTTAACTGTTAATTAAAAAAATAAATTTTCAACATATTATTATCTCTCTGTTCTTCATTGGAAAATGGCATTTTGCAATCTAAAAGAGTGAACTTCTAAAGTTAAAACTGTACTGAACTGTCAAAATTCGAAATTTAACAAATTCGACAAATTTGTTTCCATGGTAATTTAGAAAAAATGCTTAAGCTCGAAGTACGGACACCCTGTATATATCAGATACCACGTATCACATATACAGGGTGTCCCGAAATTAGCCTGCCAAACTTTACCAGCGGCTTTCACGACCAAAAATAGAAAGAAAACTATCAATGAACATGAGTCGAGAAATGTCTCCTAAGGGAGCTACGGTCCCCTGAAAGGGGGCTCCTGAAGATGATATTTTTCGAGTATTTCCGAAACTCCATGTGATGAAAAGATCCAATTTTGAACAAGAACTAAAATTTCCATGCCCAATGCAGTGAAATTCAAATTATTCCAGAATTTCAATCAGGAGTGTATAATACAGGGTGGGACTACATTAAATATTGCTCAAAATTTTTTGTAAGCATATTTTTCGACAATTTAATCTCTTCACAGAAAGAAGGTACCTACTCTTGTTCCGTGACGATCAGATGTATTATCATCGGGTAAAAGCAATTCAAAAATATTGTTACATCTCAGATATTATGCATAACATTGCAATGAGGCGTAATGGAAATTGAAAAAAATGCAGATAAAAATTGAAGTCGTTTTTTCATCATTATTTTCCTATTTTTTTTGCGTTTTTATGAGTTTGTTTGGTAAAAAGAGAGTACTTGATTTTTCTATAGCCACTGAGATTTGGAAATTGGCAACGTAATGTATAATATGTGAGATGT